TCATCTGCATAGAGGGATAATTTTACCTCCTCTTTGCCAATTTGTATGCCTTTTATGTCTCTTTCTTTCTTATTATTATCGCCAAGACTTCCAATACAATATTGAATAAGAGAGGAGATAATGGACATCCTTGCCTAGTTACTGTTCTTAAAGGGAATGTCTTTAATCTCTCTCCATTGAGAACAATGTTGGATCTAAGGTTTTCATAAATTCTTTTAATTATATTGAAGAAATTCCCTTCTAGTCCTATTTTGTTGAGTGTTTTAATCAGGAACGGGTGTTGGATTTTGGTAAAGGCCTTTTCTGCATCAACTGATAGGATCATGTGGTTCTTGTTCTTTACTTTGTTAATATGATGAATTACATTAATTTTTTTCCTTATGTTGAACCATCCTTGCATAACCTGTTATGAATCCCACTTGATCATGATGGATTACTTTTTTGATGTACTGTTGGATTCTATTGGCCAACATTTTATTTAAGATTTTTGCATCTATGTTCATAAGAGATATTGGCCTATAGTTTTCTATTTTGGTGGTGTCCTTTCCTGGCTTTGGTATCATGGATGTGTTTGCTTCATAGAATGAGTCTGGGAGAATTCCATCTTTTTCTATATTCTGAAAGAGTTTATGTAGAATTGGTGACAGTTCTTCTCTAAATGTCTGATAAAATTCACTTGTAAATCTATCTGGCCCAGGGCTTTTTTTGGTTTGAAGTTGTTGTATTACCTTTTCAATTTCTTCTTTTGTAATGGGTCTGTTCAGATGTTCAATTTCGGTTTGTGTCAGTTTAGGTAGGTTGTGTATTTCGAAGTATTTGTCCATTTCCTCTAGCTTTTCATATTTGTTTGAGTATAGTTTTTCGTAATATTCTAATGTTAGCTTTTTTATTTTAGTTGGTTCTGTTGTGATGTTGCCTGATTCATCTCTTATTCGGATTATTTGTGTCTTCTCCTTCTTTTCTTTTGTGAGTTTTGCTAATGGTTTGTCGATTTTATTGACCTTTTCAAAGAACCAACTCCTAGTTTTGTTGATAGTTTCAATTGTTTAATTTTTAAAAGGAAAAATTCCATTAAAATAGTATGTTCTAAAATGGAAATCCATACTCTTAAAAAAAAAAGTCTTAACCAATAAAATGGGATAAGCGAAGTTGCACAATACAGAAAAGCATTATTATGGAAGCAGTAACTCTCTTACCTTTCAGCACTGAATGCTGACTCTGTGTCAATGTACGCCACAGCTCCTGCTAGCCCTCCCATGGTGCTGGGTAATGTAGCCAGAACACTCATCATTATACAAAACTGAGTTTTTCCACAACCTGGTGGGCCTGTAACCTAAAAACAAGTGTGATCTGTTAAACATAACAAGCCATTAAGAACTTGCCACATACACAATGTATTTGTTTTCAAGGGATGGGGAGGGGGGGAAGAAAATTACAATAAACTGGGTAGCTTAAAACAAGATAAATTTATGCCCCGCAGAAGACTGAAATGAGCTGCCAGAAGGCTCATACTCAGCTGAAAGCTTTTATGGAAGACACTTTCCTTGACTCTTCTAAGCTTTGAGTGGTTGCAAGCAATGTTTGTCTTTCCTTTATTCAGAGTTGCATCACTTTAATTCCTGCCTCTGTCTTCGCAAGGCCTTCCTCTACTATCTCTCTATGTTCTCTCTCCTCTTCTTACTAGGACACTAGTCACCAAATTTAGGGCTCACTCTGCTCCCCTACAGCACTGCTTCCAAATAAGATCATATTTTGAGGTTCCCACTATTCAATCCACTATACTGAAATGCTTGCTGCAGAGGGTCAAGGACTGCAGCCTTCAGTATGGATTGAGGCTCAATGTCAAGAAGACAAAGATTCTCACCACTGGACCAATT